AAACAAGCTCCCCAATAAGAGATTTCATTTAAAAATTGCCATTTTGGGAGCTCGGGTACAAGCCTGCCATCCCCGACAGAGCCGTTTTGCGTCGGGAGAGGGTCCCAGATGGATTTTAACTCTGGAACGGCTCCGGGATGAAAATCCATCTGGGACCTCCCGACGCTGCGCAGGAGGGCCCAGCCGCGAAAAACAAGCTCCCCAATAAGAGATTTCATTTGGAAACTTGCCATTTTGGGAGCTCGTGCACCCTCCCATCCCCGACAAAGCCGTTTTGCGTCGGGAGAGGGTTCCAGATGGATTTTCACCCTGGAGCGGTTCCGGGGTGAAAATCCATCGTGGACCTCCCGACGCTGCGCGGGAGGGCCCAGCCGCGAAAAACAACTTCCCCAATAAGAGATTTCATTTGGAAAATTACAATTTTGGGAGCTCGGGTGCAGCCCCTCCCATCCCCGACAGAGCCGTTTTGCGTCGGGAGAGGGTTCCAGATGGATTTTCACTGTGTAACGGTTCCGGGGTGAGAATCCATCTGGGACCTCCCGACGCTGCGCAGGAGGGCCCAGCCGCGAAAAAACAAGCTCCCCAATAGGAGATTTCATTTGGAAAATTACCATTTTGGGAGCTCGGGTACACCCCCCCCATCCCCGACAGAGCCGTTTTGCGTCGGGAGAGAGTTCCAGATGGATTTTCACCCTGGAACGGTTCCGGGGTGAAAATCCATCTGGGACCTCCCGACGCTGCGCGGGTGGGCCCAGCCGCGAAAAACAAGCTCCCCAACAAGAGATTTCATTTGGAAAATTGCGATTTTGTGAGCTCGTGCGCCCCCCCCATCCCCGACAGAGCCGTTATGCGTTGGGAGAGGGTTCCAGACTTGGAACGGTTCCAGGGGGAAAATCCATCTGGGACCTCCCGACGTTGCGCGGCAGAGCCCAGCCGCGAAAAACAAATCCCAATAAGAAATATCATTTCGAACATTGCCATTTTGGGAGTTCGGGTGCACCCCCCCCCATCCCCGACAGAGCCGTTTTGCGTCGGGAGAGGGATCCAGATGGATTTTCACCCTGGAACGGTTCCGGGGTGAAAATCCATCTGGGACCTCCCGACGCTGCGCGGCAGAGCCCAGCCGCGAAAAACAAGCCCCTCAATAGGAGATTTCATTTGGAAAGTTGCCATTGTGGGAGCTCGGGTATACCCCCCCCCATCCCCGACAGAGCCGTTTTGCGTCGGGGGAGGGTTCCAGATGGACTTTCACGCTGGAACGGTTCCGCTGTGAAAATCCATTTGGGACCTCCCGGCGCTGCGCGGGAGGGCCCAGCCGCGAAAAACAAGCTCCCCAATAAGAGATGTCATTTGGAAAATTGCCATTTTGGGAGTTCGGGCACACCCCCTCCCATCACCGACAGTGGGGAGAGGGTTGCATATGGATTTTCACACTGGAGCGGTTCCGGGGTGAAAATCCAGCTGAGACCTCCCGACTCTGCGCGGGAGTGCACAGCAGCGAAAAACAAGCCCCCCAATATTTCATTTGGAAAATTGCCATTTTGGGAGCTCGGGCACCCCCCCATCCCCGACAGAGCCGTTTTGCGTTGGGAGAGGGTTCCGGGGTGAAAATCCATTTGAGACCTCCCGACGCTGCGCGGCAGAGCCCAGCCGCGAAAAACAAGCCCCCCAACAAGAGATTCATTTAGACAATTGCCATTTTGGTAGGTCGGGTGCACCCCCCCCATCCCCGACGGAGCCGTTTTGCGTCGGGGGAGGGTTCCAGATGGATTTTCACCCTGGAACGGTTCCGGGGTGAGAATCCATCTGGGACCTCCCGACGCTGCGCGGCAGGGCCCAGCCGCGAAACACAAGCTCTTCAATCAGAGATTTCATTTGGAAAATTACCATTTTGGGAGCTCGTGCGCCCCCCCATCCCCGACAGAGCCGTTTTGCGTCGGGAGAGGGTTCCAGATGGATTTTCACCCTGGAACGGTTCCGAGGTGAAAATCCATCTGGGACCTCCCGACGCTGCGCGGCAGGGCCCAGCCGCGAAAAACAAGCCCCCGAATCAGAGATTTCATTTGGGAAATTGCCATTTTGGGAGCTCGGGTACACCCCCCCCCATCCCCGACAGAGCCGTTTTGCGTCGGGAGAGGGTTCCAGATGGATTTTCACCCTGGAACGGTTCCGCGGTGAAAATCTATTTGGGACCTCCCGACGCTGCGCGGGAGGGCCCAGCCGCGAAAAACAAGCTCCCCAATAAGGGATGTCATTTGGAAATTGCGATTTTGGGAGCTCGGGTACACCCCCCCCCGTCCCCGACAGAGCCGTTTTGCGTCAGGGGAGGGTTCCAGATGGATTTTCACTTTGGGACGGTTCCGGGGTGAAAGACTATCTGGGACCTCCCGACGCTGCGCGGCAGAGCCCAACCGCGAAAAACAAGCCCCCCCCAATGGCCATTTTGGGAGCTCGCGCGCCCCCCCATCCCCGACAGAGCCGTTTTGCGTCGGGAGAGTGTTCCAGATGGATTTTCATCCTGGAACGGTTCCGGGGTGAAAATCCATCTGGGACCTCCCGACGCTGCGCGGCAGAGCCCGGCCGCCCCAACAAGAGATTTCATTTGGAACATGACCATTTTGCGAGCTCGTACGCCCCCCACCCATCCCCGACGGAGCCGTTTTGCGTCGGGAGAGGGTTCCAGATGGATTTTCACCCTGGAACGGTTCCGGGGTGAAAATCCATCTGGAACCTCCCGACGCTGCGCGGCAGGGCCCAGCCGCGAAAAACAAGCTCCCCAATAAGAGATCTCATTAGAAAAATTACCATTTTGGGAGCTCGGGTACACCCCCCCCATCCCCGACAGAGCCAGCCGTTTTGCGTCGGGAGAGGGTTCCAGATGGACTTTCACCCTGGAACGGTTCCGGGGTGAAAATCCATCTGGGACCTCCCGACGCTGCGCGGCAGAGCCCAGCCGCGAAAAACAAGCTCTCCGAAAAGAGATGTTATTTAGAAAATTGCCATTTTGGGAGCTCGGGTACCCCTCCCCCATCCCCGACAGAGCCGTTTTGCGTCGGGAGAGGGTTCCAGATGGATTTTCACCGTGGAACGGTTCCGGGGTGAAAATCCATCTGGGACCTCCCGACGCTGCGCGGCAGAGCCCAGCCGCGAAAAAACATGCTCCCCAATAGGAGATTTCATTTGGAAAATAACCATTTTGGGAGCTCGGGTCCCCCCCCCCCATCCCCGACAGAGCCGGTTTGCGTCGGGAGAGGGTTCAAGATGGATTTTCACCCTGAAACGGTTCCGGGGTGAAAATCCATTTGGGGCCTCCCGACGCTGCGCGGCAGAGCCCAGCCGCGAAAAACAAGCTCGCCAATAAGAGATTTCATTTGGAAAATTGTCATTTTGGGAGTTCGGGTGCCCCCCCTCCCATCCCCGACAGAGCCGTTTTGCGTCGGGAGAGGGTTCCAGATGGATTTTCACCCTGGAACGGTTCCGGGATGAAAGTTCATCTGGGACCTCCCGACGCTGCGCGGGAGGGCCCAGCCGCGAAAAACAAGCTCCCCGATCAGAGGTTTCATTTGGAAAATGACAATTCTGGGGGCTCGGGTGCACTTCCCCCCATCCCCGAGATGCGCCCGCAAGGCTCCCGAGAGCGCCCAGATGGAAAATCACCCGTTTCAGGTTCCAATTTTCACCCCGGAACCGTTCCAGGGTGATTCTGGAACCTGAAACGGGTCGATGCCCCCGGGGGGGATGAGCGAGTCCGTTGGTTTTGGCTCGTGCGGTTGTGAAGCGCGGTGGGCTCCAGCGAAGCGAAGCGAAGGGGATGAGGGGGATGAGGGTGAGCGGGACGAGGTGGAGGGGGCGGTGAGAGGAGGTGGAAGAGGAGGGGGGGATGAGGGGAAGAGGAACAGGGGGAGGAGGAGGAGGAGAGGAGGAGGAGGAGGAGGAGGAGGAGGAGGAGGAGGAGGAGGAGGAGGGATGAGGAGGCGAAAAGGAGGAGTAGGAGGAGGAAAGGAGGAGTAGGAGGAGGAAAGGAGGAGGAGGAGGAGAAACCGGACGATGAGGACGATATGAAGGAGGAGGGACAGGGAGAGGAATACGCGGACGAGACGAAACATATTATTAGTTTTTGTTGTCGTAGTATTTGTAGTCAGAATAATAGAATTAGTAGTGTTAATCGTGATACTACGAATACTCAACATCATATTCGTTTTCAGAACGCTAGCACTAGTCATATTAATCGTATTAGGACGAACCATAATGATGATACTACTATCAATACGACTAGTTACCCGAAGACTGATATGAATAATGCTAAGAAGAAGGAGAAGGAGGAAGCGAGTTGGAGGAGCAGGATGTATGTTGCGTAAGATGAGGCGGAAGAGGAGCTGGAGGGATACTTGGAGAAGGTGCAGAGCTGTGAACACGACTAGGAGGACTAAAACCGGAGAGCAGGAGGTCGAGTTTGCGATGCCGCATCCGCGATTGTATCGAGGATGGGTTCTGGTGGGCCGATTGTTCCTTGCATGCTTAGGGGGTGGTCTCATTCATGCGGTTTCTGTATGTCTGCTTACCTGTGCTGTGTTGCACGTCGCTTACATGTCGCTTGCACATCGCCTGCCTTCGACCAGCATGTTGTTGCACGCCTCCGTCTTGCAACTACCATCCCCCTCCCCTTCCCCTCCATCCCTCGCTGTTCTGCCCCAATCATTCGCCGCTCACGACACCTTTTTCTCTCCTCTCCTCGATCATATCTTCTCCCCTCCACTCTGCCTCTCCCGCTTCCTCTCCTCCGCCCCTCCCCTCCGTATCCGTATCCTCCTCCCCTCTCCCCCTCTTTTCCGGCTTTCCTCCCCCCTTCCCGCTTCCCTCCCCTCTGCTACCCTTCCCCGGCCCCAGCCCTAACCCATCGCCCGCCCCACACTCACCTCGCTCTGCTCCGTCCCTCCGCTCCAGGCCCATCCCCCTCCCCTTGCCCCACGCTGTGCTCCTCCCCCCTCCCACGCCGCCAGCTCACAGCGGGCGGGGGCGACCAGAACCTGAATAGCAGGACCGCGCCGTGGGCGGGGCAGGACCCGAATGGGAGGGGTCCTAGGTCTTGTTCTGAGGGGGGGCGCAGGAGGGGGTTAGCTGTTTGTCGAGCGGAGACTTTGTTTTTTTGGTGGGGGAGGGGGGGCGGCGGGATGGGTTGGCGAGGGAGGGGGGCGAGGGGGGGCAGCAGATGTTTTTGCGAGGAGGGGCTCCGTCTTCGTTGGCAGACGGGCGGGGGGCACGAGGAGCGGCTGCCCAGTTCCGCTTGGGGGGTGGGGGGTGGGGCAGAGCACGCGGCGGAGGGCGAGCACAGGGGCAGCGGCGGAGCGGGGGAGGACATGGCGTGGAGGACTGCGTATTCTTGAAGCCGGATCCGGCTCAACAAAAACGCGCAGCTGTTGAGTCAGCTCCGGCTTCAAAAACGCGCAGCTCTCTCAGGGGATCGTCGTGCCCCCCGGGAACGGGGGGCACGTGCAGCAGGAGCCGGAGCAGGAGGGCAGTCGTTGGATGCGGAAGGCTCTGCGAGGGCGCCCTCGAGGGCGCGAGGTCATTGCCGCTTCGTGGACCGGCTCGGGTTCCTCCTCCTCCTCCTCCTCCTCTTCCTCCTCTTCCTCCTCCTCCTCCTCCTCCTCCTTCCCTTCCTCCTGCCCTGGGCGCCCAACCCTCGGGCCTTCGAGGGCTCCTCGGAGGTGTGTTGCTTCCCTTTGGGGGGGCGGCGCGAGAGCGCGACGTTCTTCGCGCTTTACGCAGCGCGCAGCGCGAAGCGCAGAGTTAGGCGCCCTTGGCCCTTGGGAAGCTCGCCATGAAGGGAGCGGGTCCTGTGGGAAAGGGGTCCTAAGACGAGCAGCGCTGCATCCATCTTTCTTTCTGTGGTGCACTTCGTGTACAGGGCCGCGGTGCTGGGGGCGGGGTGGACCACGTCATTCACACGTGGTAGCCATTACGCATCTGCAAGCATGTTATCGCCCATTGCTTGTAGGTCGTCGTTGGAAAAATCACGGACGGGTCCTGACAAGCGTCGCCGTGCTCGGCGTCCCGGGGGCCCTCCACGGGACCCGGGGCCGTCCGAGAAGGGGCCGGCATGAAGAGTTGGTCTTCTGGGCAGGCTCCGGGGTCCAGGGCCCGAGTTCCCACAGAACCAGTTCTCTTTCGTGCCGACGGACGATGGCGGACAGCGACAAACGACGACGTCGATGACGACGACGACGACGACGACGTCGACGACGACGACGACGACGACGACACGCTGCGGATGCCCCGTTGGGGTTGGGGGGGGGCTGCGTGGGTCCGCCGTCCTCGGTCGACGAGCGACAGCAACGACGACGCGCCGCGGGTGCTCCATGAGGGAAGCGGGGTTCCTTGGGCCCGCCGTAGTTAGCCGATGACGACAACGACGCGCTGCAGATGCGACATTGTGGGGAGGGGGTGGTGCGCGTGCCCCGCCGTAGTCGGTCGACGAACGAGGACGGCTGCGACGACGACGGCTGCGACGACGACGACGGCGACGAGCACGACGACGGACGACGACGACGACGACGCACAGGATAACCCATGGGGTGTTGGGGCGCTGGATAGGTCCGCCGTAGTCGGTCGACGACTACGACGACGACGCACCGCGGATGCTCCTTGAGGGGAGCTGTGCCGCGTGGGCCCGCTGTAGCCGACGACGCCGACGACGACGCGTTGCGGTTGCGACATTATGGGGGGGTAGTGTGGGCCCGCTGTAGTCGGTGGATGAACGGGACGAACGACAACGACGGCTACGGACGCAACGACGGATATGACGACGACAACGACGACAACGACGACGACGCGCTGTTGATGCTCCAGGGGAGGAGGGGTGGGGTGGGTGCGTGGGCCTGCCGAAGTCAACGACGACGACGCCGACGACTGAATCTGATTGCATTCCGATTGGGGCATGCTTGAATTCCTGTTGGAATCATGCTGGGATGCGATAGGGAATATGTTGGACACCTATCGAACCCAGGGGCCCGATGTCCCCAAACAGTGTTTGCGTTCAGGGGTCCGCATTTGTTCCCCAACCATCCTGTGGTGTTGGCTCCTCGTTTTGAAGAGACAGCGCCCCGCGTTCCTTCCTCCTCCCCCTCCTCCCTCCTCCAATCCTTGCCTCCGCCCTCCTTCGTAGCCCCATAGGGGAACTCCACCGAAGGCCCCAGTGCCAGGGCCCGCATGCCGCCACCTCGATATTTCGGCACACCCCTCACACGCTTCGTGGCCACATAGGGAGCCCCACCGAAGGCTTCCAGGGCCCGCATGCCGCCACCTCGACATTTTGGTACACCCCACGTTCCGTAGCCCCTGGATGCCGCCACCTCGCCATCTCGGCGCACCCGTCACACGTGTCGTGGCCCCATAAGGAGCTCCACCGACGGCCCCAGTTCCAGGGCCCGCATGCCGCCACCTCGCCATTTTGGCATACCCTTCACACTTTTCGTAGCCCCATAGGGAGCTCCACCGAAGGCCCCAGTGACGAGGCCCGCATGCCGCCACCTCGATACTTCGGCAAACCACTCACACGTTGTATGTAGTTCAATCGAAGGCCCCAGTGGCAGGGCCCGCATGCCGCCACCTCGCCATTTCAGCATACCTCAAACATGTTTCGTGGACCCATCGGGAACTCCACCGACGGCCCCAGCGGTTTCGTTCGCATGCGGTTGCACCCCCCCATGTCGGCGAACCCCTCACGCGCTCCGTGGCCCGACCGGTGCCCCACTTGAGGCCACAGTGGCAGCGCCCGCATGCGGTTCCATACCACAGTTTGGTGCACCCCTCGCACGTTTCGTGGCCTGAGGCGGCACCAACGAAGGCCGCAGCGGCAGGGCCCGCATGTCGGAGCCGCCCCAGTTCGACACGCCCGTCACACGCGTCGTGGCCCCATAGCGGGCTCCACCAAATGCCTCAGCGGCACGGGCCGCCTGCCGCCGACGGGCCACGTTGGCGCACCCCTCCAACGCTTCGTGGCCGCACAGGAGGATCCACCGACAATGATACTCACAACTGTGGCGCGCATCACTGCTTATGTCAGAGCGTGAATTACCTACCCCGCTTTCGCTTCCAGGCAAAACCAAGTCATACCGCGCGCCTCCCCGTCGAGCTGCCTGACCAGTGCGGGCCGTAGTTTGGCATCGCTTGGTAGTTCTTGGAAGCGAGGGTGGTCAAAAGCGAGGTAGTTTCGTTTGCCCCCAATTATGGTTGGATCCTTCGCCAGGCTAATTTGAGGAGCTGGGCTGGCCCGTCGGTGTGGCGTCTGGGTGGTAGACGTCGCCGCCCCGACGCCGCCTCGTTGCCGCCCGTCTTCTGGGCCTGTGCGTCTGGTCTGGCGGATCTGTGGTCGCCGTCGCCGCCCCGTTGCCTCCTGGGCTTGCGTTACGCTTCATGGTGTTGCGTTGCGCTGGTTGAGTTGGTTGTCATTGATGTGTTGTGTTTGGCATTGCTTTGCGCTGCTTCCCACTGCATTACATTGCCTTGCATTGCTGGGCCCAGCTTTTGCATATCATAGCATAAAAGGGACGGGAGATGGCTGAGGAGGAGGAGGAGGAGGAGGAGGAGGAGGAGGTGGGGAATGTTGAGGTTTGCGGTGTTCTCTTTCTTGTCTTGCGTACCGCAGCGCTTACGTACACCACAGCACGCCCAACAGCATGTCAATCAGGGCTTGCACTTAAGGGCTCCCATTTCTTCCCCAGCACAGTGCTTGCAATTAGGGGTTCCGAGTTCTCCGCTTGCAACTCGGAGTTCTAATGCAGAGTAGCGCCGCGTGCCACAGATGTGCTGTGGTCCCCACGTTTCTGCCATCGTCCACTGTTCTTGCGCGACAGCCGTGCCGTGCATCACGCACCACAGTTGCGACACGCGTGCCGCGCATGTCGCTCGACCCATCCAGACTTCGTGCTCCCCCGAAGTGACCATGTGGGGCAGGTGAAACGAGGCAAAGAACGCGCACACGCTTCACGATCGGCCCGCGGCCAGATCGTTGTGCTCGCCGTTCTGGCGCAGGGTGGTCAGTATACCGGGGAGCAGGGTGCGGGCTCCGGCGCGCTTCCTGGCGTCAAACAGGCGCCAACGGCCGTCGGTGCGGTTGTGGGCGCTCCTCGGCTACAGGGCAGCGCGCCTGCTCTACTGGCGCGGTGGACTCGCGAGGCGCTCTTGGGCGCGAGACTGGCTGCGCTCACGACGGAGGGTGCACTGCTGATGGCAGGACTGTTGCTGCAGAGCACAGGGAAAGAGCTCTGCGAAATCGCGCACCGAGTGGGTCAGCACGCCGCTGCTGTAGATCGGTGGCCACATGCGAACCCTACCCCTCTTTGTGTGGTGGAGTAGGGTTCGCACGTGGCCTCCTAATAGAACAGTGGCGCGGATGAACACCTCGGTCGAGCAGCGGGGGCTGCCGTGTAGCGGCTGGCCGCCCCCATGGTTCTCAGCCGCAAGTTGTCGTCTGCGAAAGCAGTTCTTCATTTTGGCGGCCGCGTGCTTCCGACGGAGCCCGGAGCTAAAGCACTGAAGGCCCTGGGCCCGCAGAACCTGGAGCAGGAGGAGATTCGAGAGGCCTTCCTTGGCATTATTTGATTCCGTGCTCTCCCTCACTGTATCATAGTGCCTGCATCGAGGAATATGAGCACGCGTTGCACCGCCCTCTCCCTCCTCACTCTCTTATGTGTTCTCTCTCTTCTCTTTATTGTGTGTGTGTCGTTCTCTCCCTCTCTCTCTTTCTCTTGTCGCTTGCTCTCTCTCTCTCTCTTTCTCTCTGTCTTTCACCCTCTCTCTCCCTGTTATCCCTAGAGGCTTCGCCCCATGCCGCCGGCCCACTGTCTCGGATAATGGGAGATGCAAGAGCTAAGTCATGAGGTCTGGGCGCCGCCGTGAAGCAGTGTCGGGACCTGTTTGTTTTTCGACCCTGTCCGCGCCGATTTGCGTGAGGGGTGCCACCGGATTTCAGCAATGTGACACATCCCTTCTGTTTTTGGACCCTAACCCCGCCGATCTGCATGAGGGTTTCAATTG